TTCTATATCTTATCTCTTTCCATCCTCCATAGTGGTCATTTATTTTGTTTTTATTATCGATTTTTCTTTCCTAGAAAGCACGGCTTACTCTACAAAGGCAGAGTCTACCTATCTGTTTTGCTCCCTGATGTATACTGTGCCTGGCACATGTAGGTTGAACATTCCTTATCCAAAAATCTAAAATCTGAAATGCTCCAAAATATGAACCTTTTTGAGCACTGATATGATGCCACAAGTGAAAATTTCTACAGCAGACCTCAAGTGGTGGGTCATAGTCAAAAGGCAGATGCACTAAAAATGCTGTAGAAAATTACCTTCAGGGTTTATATACAAGGTATACATAAAACTTAAATGAATTTCATGTAATTTAGATATGAGTCCCATCCCTAAGAAAAATATATGAGGGAGTCCCACCCCCTGTATATTTACATGTATGTAAAGATTCCAAAATCCAGAACAATCTGAAACACTTATGGCCCCAAGCATTTCAAATTAAGGAGATTCAACCTATAGGTACAGTCTGTTGAACAAATCACAGCAACTTAAATCGTTGGCATTTGGGAATTCCTGTCGTAGGAAACAGTGAGCCAGGGAATCAGGATGCCTTGCTCAGGGACATACACCTGGCGAGGCTGACTGTGCGGTGGTCCATGGCTCTTCCTGGGACTGAACTCTCAGCCCAGTGGACCACTTTTCATGTCCTGCTCCGCAGCCACCCATCCAGACTGAACCAAGATCCCCTTGGCTGAGGAGAGCTGCTCTGGGTGGAGCTGTAGGAAGAAGTAGCTTTATTTGGAAGTGGAAGTAATGATTATTCGCATGCTGAGGTTAGAGACACCTGGCTTAGGGTGAGGTGGGTTGAAGGAGCTGAGATGGGTAGAAGACAGGGAGGTAATTTGGTAAAGGAGCTCAGCTTGCACAGAGCAGCTAATTTTGGAGATGCTTCGAAAAGCAGTCTTATGAAGTTAGAGAAATTAACCAAGTCTATTTTTGCCAGAGGCTCCTGGCTTATTCCTGCCTTGTTTTCTACTGCTGTGTCACTTCAAGCACAGCCTGAGAACACCAGCTTCTAATGCTTCTAGTATGGATTTGCTTTGTGAACCTCAGGTGTGGTTTTGCCAACTCAGGAATGGTCATGACAGTAGCCTTGCCAGATCTCTTTCTGGGCCTCCCCAGAGGTGCTACCTTGTTTCTGGCCCTGTCTCTCCAAATAGCTGGGATGTCTTCCTTAAGAAAGGCCAAGACCTCTAGCAAGATCCTTCTAGAATGGCCCCAAACTGAATCCTCCTCTTCTCTCTGTCTCCTCTGCTTTGTCCTGTAGCTGCCAAACCCCAAACATGCCTCTCCCAGTCACACCTGTCTGTCTTTGCATACCATGCCAGCTCCCTCTTCCTGGAAGCCCTGCCCCTTCTTTCCCCACTCTTTGAGCTGCATCTAGGAGCCTAAGAGCCCTTCCCACTTGTTGACCCTTTACCAACACACACAGACACACACACACACAGACACACACACACACACAGATACTCTATACACACACCTTGCACAGACACAGATAGACACACACAAAGACACAGATGTGCATGGACACAGTATATACCAGTGATGGAGAACCTTCAGACCTCTCAATGATAACAAACAGCCCACTGCAGCATGTGGGCCATAGGTTCACCACCACTGCTATATACAATTCACACAGTCACACACATATAATATGTGCTTATATATCCATAACCCTCCTTCCCCTACTCATGCACACACATCAGATAACCTGACCTCTAAACTTCCTTCCCCTATACTCATTCACACCCCCATAGTTCCATCCATGACTTCCTTCCAGACTCACAGGCAGCTGGTCACTCCCTCTCTATTCTCTATAGTGTGTTGAGCATGGCTCCTTTTTAGCAGGTCGTGTGCTATGAACTATGTGAATTTCCTGATCCTCATTCATTGGCTAAGAGCCCTGTCTGAGCCCCAGCCCCTAATATGATATGATATCTGGCATATATGATGGACTGAATAAACGATTGGGAGTTGTATAAATGAATCAAAGTGAGTTCACGAATGAAGGGTGGGGTTAAAATGAGCCTGGGGAACAATTCAGGTCAGGTGTTAACCAGGAGCCTCAGTAAGTTTGGGGTAGGGAAATACCAAAATAATACCAAAAATAAACAAATGAACAGATACAAAACAATAAAACAACTTCCCAGTAACTGGCAGGTGCATCCTTGGTCAAGAACTGTTAATCAAGGCCACCAGCCCCAGGGAGGCAGATAACTACAGTTCACACAGCAGGGCCAGGACTAGAGCCCCAGTGGGCTGTGTTGATGGAGCTCTCCTCACAAAGCTCATGAAGTGTGTAGGTTCATGGGGCAGTAGGTTCATAGGCAAAAAGAGGAAGAGGAGGGTCAATTTGCAAGGATTTTGGATTAGTGGGGATGGGAATCATAAATGCCAGTCTTTGGGGAAGGGTGGAACAGTGGTTTTCAATCAGGGTTGAAAGCAGTGATTTGATTTTGTCCCCCTAGAGACATGTAGCAAATGCCTGGAGATATTTTGATGGTCCCAACTGGGGGGTGGTGGATGCCACCAGCAACTGGAAGGTTGAGACTGGAGATGCTGCTAAGTATCTTACAGTATACAGACAGCCTCCCAAACAAAGAGCCATTTGGCCAGAAGTGTCAACAGTCCCAAAAATGACAATCCCTGGTGTAGAGATTCAACTATGGGCTTTTGAAAGAGGCCCGAATCTAGACTTTACCAATTCCAAACTGTGTGACCATGATCAAGTCACTTCTTTGTACCTCCAAACTTCAGTTTTTTCATTTGCAGAAGGGGTTAATTATTATGTCACATAGCTACTGTAAGGATCAGCAATATGCAAAATATCTACTGGATCATAGGGCACATGGAAGGCATTTAATAAATGGCCTCCACCCTCAGCAAGCCTTGGGAATCACAGTAAACAGCCTCCACCTCTCCTTTGCCGACACCTTTCAGATCTTCCTCTTTGTGACTCCTTGATCTCTTGGCTACAGAAGTAACCCTGGTTTCCTGTGGCTGTCCTCTCTTTGAATAATAGTGTGTGTAAATGGGGTTATGAGCCTATCAGCTTCACCCCCAACTTTGAATATACACTCATTTCTGCCTTGGACACAGGGCCTGGGGTATGTGTGGGTGTTTGTGTGCTTGTGTTTATGTATTTTGCCTGTGTGTGTGAGTGTATGTATGTGCACAACTGCATTTGTTCCTCTTTGGTTTGGTTTTCAGAAAGAAGATGGAAGGGGAGTCCCTGATTTGGAAGCAATGTATTTTTATTTTCAACATGCCTGAATCTACATCCTCAGGTATACTGAGATATGACATCTCATCTTCAGGTGTACTCAAATCTGAATCCACATCCTCTGGTATTCTAATTATCCAAATCCGCATCCTCAAGTATGCTGAGATCTGTATCCACATCTGTATACTCATGATCTGAAAATAACAGGAACTTTCCCTATTTTCCCTGGATCTAGATTTCAGGGGAATATTTCACAGAGTTCCAGAAAGGGATCATGGTGGATGCTTCTCTGGCCTGAGCACCAGTGGGCATTGACACTTTCCTGCCCACCTCAGGAGTTCAGAACACCTGCCAGGGCTCCCCAGACATCTGCCAAAACACCCAGACCCAGAGGAGGTGTCTAATGGAAAGTTGCTCTATACAACCTTTCTTTTTTTCACCTGGAAAAAGCTGATTTATTCCCCGAGTTCACAAATTCATAGCATAGAGCTCCTGGACCAGACATTGGACAAGCTTCTCTATTTCAAAGCAGTCAGAATCTACTGAGACCAGCAGGGTAATCTAGTCCTCATCATTGTGCTCTTTCTCTGTCCTGCTCTGGAGCATCACTTGCCCTGGGTTAGCAGAATTTCTGGTTGGTAGCAACTGCTAAAGGCTGAGGTGACCATGACCATGTCCCCTGCCAACTCTCAGTTCTTGGGCAAGGTTGGGCAGTAGGGTTCTTGGTGCTCACCCTGCCTGCCAGTTACCTGCTATTTCCCTCCCTCCATCTGCCTGCGAAAAAATTCTTCTATTACTCACCCTGAGAGGCCTCCTGAGGAACAACCTAGCTAGCCCTTCCTGCAACCTTCCCTGGCTAGTGGGGAGCCTGCTTCAGGAGGTACTTAAAGGTGAAACCAGAAATGCCAAGGCAAGACCATTTTCCAGAAATCTCCTGGCTTGACCCATCTTCAGGCAAATGGGATACTAAACATTTCAGATGGATAGATGAAAACTTTTCTCATCCTCAAATACCAACTCCTTTATGAAGTCACCAACACATCCTTACTTTTCCCCGTTGATGTCTCTAAAGACCTTCCACCTTGGTCATCTTGCTTCCATTTGCTCCCATCTATTGCACACTTTCTCCAGCCCCCTTCCTAAAATACGTACCTGATCATGTCACTCTTTTCCTCAAATGACACCAATGGCTCACCACTGCCTCTAATAAAGGTTCAATATTCCATTTAATCTTATTTCTGGCCCTCCGTGGTCTTTCTCAACTGTCTCCCCTGGCTTTTATCCTACTACAAACTCACTTTCAATATGCTGCTCCCTAGATCTTGTTATAACAAATGCTCTGTACTTTTCCACTTCCTTCCCCTGGAATACCCTTTCCTTTCCCATTTCTTCCTACTTGAATGCTTACTCGTACTTCTAGACACACTGCAAGTACTTCTTCCTTCCCAGAATGTCCTAGTTCAAATGAATCTCTCTGCCCCATGTCATGACCAAGTGCTGGAGTTGGCTGGATGTGTTTCTCTTTCCCGGTATTAAAAGCTCCTTGAAGTCAGATACCATGTGTTATTTATTAGTCACTGTGGTCAGCCCCTGCCTATTTCCTTGCATCCAAGTGCTTGGCACAGACTGAGGACTAAATACATTATGCAACTGAAGGGTTTTCTGCAAGGTCTTTTAGAAACTACTAAGCCTGCCAGGTGGGGGTTTGGTAACAGAGAAATCCAGGCACACAGAGGCTGTGGCAGAACAACTAGCTTGGAGATCACCTCAAAAAGACACGGAGGTTTCCTGGAGAGTGTGCTCTAGCAGTGGGAAGCCCAGCCCGGGTAATGCCATACTCTTTCTCTGGTTCTAAGAGCCAGACAGCCTCTTTCTCTCCTCAGCCTGTTCCTCTCCTCTCCAGCTCCCACTTCTAACTGTTCTCCTGGGGAAATCAATGTCTGTAATGGTGCAATGATTAGCTCTCAATCCTAGCATGCATTAACCTTGACTTGAGGGTGTCAGCTAATGAGCGAGAGGGAGTGAGCATGCTCAGGAACAAGAGCATCTTTAGCTGCAGCATTCCAGTCTCTAGGGCTGGGCTTGGACTGAAAGAACCGTTAAACATTTTTCACTCCCAGGTAAGACATTATTACAGGTTCTCCTATGGCCTGTGTCCAGTGGAGGTCATCTTTGTTTTAGTTAAATCTCCTCTCCTCAAAATAAATTAAACAACATACTTCTTTCAAAGTACCCTTATCTGTGGACGTTTGGCTGTCCTGGCAATAGGGAGATACCAGTCAAAACCCTCACTTACTGAGACCCCTGACAAACTACCATTTGAGGCTCTGTTTTCTTATCTGTCAAGGAAGATAATTATTGTATCTATTTCACAGGATCTAATGTAGAGGCTCATTCCATAATATGAGCTGTTGAGATTACTACTTTATCCAGGTGCACACAGTGACACTAGACTGTCTCTGGGCTTCTGTTTTCCCTCCTTTAAAACAAGGGGTGGACTCTACCATCAGTATCTCTCATGGGGCTGCTAACATGGGATGGTTCCCAGGTACTCCCCCCAATCCCCTTGACTATTTTTACACCCAGTTCTACTGCAGTTTCTTATTACCTAAAATCTTACTGTGTTTGTTCCCCTTCACAATGTAAAATATTTCTCCAACAATAGTCCTAATAGTTCTGGTAATATGCCAATAGAGAGAAACAACTTATTTATGGCCTTCAATTAAAGCTTCTGCAGTTGGGAGATGTCACTGCACCATCACCAGGGGCTTCCTCGATGGTTTTTGTCTTGCTGTCAACTGCATCAGCTCACAAAATACTCTGATCTCAGCATAGTATTGTACAGTTTATAAGGCTTTCACAGCTCTGTGGTCTCAATTCTCCCTTCTAATAATTGCACAAGATAGTTGGAGTATTACTCATCCATGGTATGGATGGAGAGGTCCATTCATTGGTCTATTCATTCATTTGATGAACATTTCTGGAATGCATTTTGAACCAGCTGGCACAGTTCAGATGATTGGTGTGTGTGGCTGAGGTCTCATTGCTCTAAGTGGTGGCTCTGGATCAGGGTCTGAGGCCCACCTTGAGCCTGGTGCCCTGGGCTCTGTACCTCACTACACTCTTCTCTTGGACTCCACCCCAGCTCTCTCTGACCCTTGGAATTAAAGCCCACATCCCATGACCACTTGTAAGGGTACTCAGCCTGTACACATCCCACATCCTTGGGTTCATCTGCTCACCCCATGGCCACCTGGTGAATTGTTATTCACTCTAAGTTATAGCTCCTCCTCTGGAAGCTTCTGCCACCTTACCCTTCTTTGCTCATGCTTGTTTTGGGTGTGTCAGCATGGTACTTTGGATTCATCTCTATAATCATGTTGATCATATTATATTGTAATGATTTAGATACAATTCTGCATGCCTACACTCTTGCCTCTTTCAGATAGTCCCCATTTACACACAAAGCTACAAGATGGGAAATTCAGGAGGTCAGGACTCCTCATCCCTGAGTCCCCAGAGTCAAGTCCAATGCCTGGCATGGGCTCAATAGATGTTGCATAAATGGAGTTATTTTTTCAATTAGTCATTCCCCTCCTTGAGTAATGTTTGGTATCATACATCCTCTGGGTGTAGTTGAATGAGGAACGGGACAGGGAAAGGAATTGTAGAAGGAGAGAGTTATTAAAGGTGGGAAGCTGGATACTAGGCCCAGTACCTCTCTGGTTCTCAGGCAGATTGTTTTAATATGGGATGCCTCTTGTTGATAGATGTTCAATAGCTATAAAAGGCTTGTGCATAAGTTACTTCTCCCCCACTTCACCTATACTCTTTCCTCCCACAGACTCTGGGTCAGGAAATTAGAAAGACAAAAAGCAGCCAGATAGCTTACTCAGAGGAAATGAAAAGGAATTCAGCCTGATTGTATCCCAAGTACTAGGCTGACTAATTACTAGGTGATATTATCCCTACATAAACTAGACCAACAGTCCCAAAATTCAACTAATTTACACAAGCTCCCACAATTGTCTAAGATAAAATTTGACCTGAGGACCTCCTGGTTCTCATTAAAGTTCATCCTCTTGCGGAGAGTGTGGAGAAAGGTCCAGAGGGGAATCTGGGGTGGCAATATGAAGTTGCACAGTGAGTTAGCTGATGGTGTGCCACTCGGGACCACTGTGAATGATTCTAGCTCCAATGGGTGCAGGCACTAGGCTTTTAGTGTTAAAAAGAATTATTCAATAATACTTGTTAGAGCATAATAAAGGCTGATTTTGTTCAGGACAATTATGATAGGTACAGGGGCCATGACAATAAGATTTTGCAGTGACAGTGAAAGATTGGGCTCAACTCCTACAATAACCCAGGCAAGAGAGAGTTTATAACCAGGGAACAACTTGACAGTCAGTGGGTGTACAATGACTATGAGGAGACATCACTGGTAACAGAGATTCTGGCTACACCAATATAACGGGATTCTTGCTAAAGCCAGGCCAGGGAGACCAGATCACCTTGGGGATGATGGGAAATGAGGAACTTGGTCAGCGATAGAGGTGATCAGCTATCAGAGGTGGGGGGTTTCTGCTCAACTGCATTTTACAAAGAAGTACATAGTTGGGTTTAGGAGAAAGTTCAGGAGCAAGACAAAATTTTGGTCAAGCAAAGAATCTTTGTTATTAGATTAAAAAGTAGATAGATCAGGAGGTGGGAAAGGAAAGAACTAGAGAACTTTATGTTGGTCCCAAGGAATGACAGGTGTCTATCTATGTGGACTCTGCTTCATGTCTGGGTCACTTTACCAGCAGATAATCACTGAGTCCATTTTTTCATTAAATTTTATTTTTCCAGTACAATCTGGGACTAACAACCCTCCTCTTCATCTCTGTCTCTGATGATGAGTCTTTATTTTAAAGGTGAGAAGATGGAGAGCCTGAAAATGTAATTGGACTGCTCCGGTTGTACTTGAGCCCAAGGGCAGAGCAAAGTCGGAGCTCAAGTTGATGTGTGGGGCTGTGATCCTTCTGATTGTGAAATGGCACAGCCACGAAGTCCCTATAGGTAAAGATACACTAATACAATGGCTTAGTGACTTTTGGGGGGAAAACACCCTGTCATTTCCTACTTGAATTATCTGGATCCCAAGAGCAGAGGTTATTGATTTTTGCCACCCTTGTTTCCCTACCTTCTGTAAGGTCAATCTTACATCCCAGGAAGAGAGGAGTGGAGAAAACACCTTGCTCCCTGTGCTGCTGCCTGCACCCACCCCACTAAAGTCAGCTTCTTGTTCAGAGCACAGAAACACAGGTTTCAGGAAGGGTGACCTAGTAAATAACAGAGCCTCCCTTCTACTCTCTTCCATGCCTGGGAAGTGTTCATCTCCCCACTACCCCTCACAGCTGTCACTCCCCACTCTGACTTCCCAGATGCTGCCTCAGTGTGACTGTTGCTTCTTGCATCTCTGCAGGCATCTTTTAAATATAATTCACTGAGAAGGATGAATTTACATTTTTCTCCTTCACTCCTGTAGAGGGCAACCAGATGTAGCAAATAAAAACATAGGGCAGCTGGCTAAATTTGAATTTCAGATATATATAGTGAATGCTTTTTAAATATAACCCAAATATTGAAATATTTGGTGCTTGTCTGAAATTTAAGTTTAACCGGAAAAACTGTTTTATGTGACAAATCTACTCCTAGCACAAGGAAAATGGCCCTGTATCCATTTTCTCTGACCACCGAGCAACTGCTTCCACTCGTTTTCACATTGACAATCTACTTGAACTTGTTAAAACAATGGTTTAAAATACACAGGTGCCTGGAGGGTTCAGATGCCTGCATTTCTAGAAGAATGTGGGAAATTGCATCCAAATATCAATATTTCTCACTGTTTCAGAAGTCTCAGAAAGAAATACACAGAGACACAGAATTCAGGTAAAATAATAAAATTTCTACTTGCAAGTGGGTGGGACCACCAGAAACTGGTCTGTTAAAATCTGCACGTCCCTTTGTTTAGCATTTCCCTTTTTATATCCTTTTTAGCTATTATCTCATCCCTAGTGGCCTTTGATGTGTAAATACAATTCCAGTTCCTATTTAAAAGACACAGACACAAGATAGGCACATATACATTGTAAATTCACCCAGCCATTACAACTTTGTTAGGTTAATGATGTTACTGGTTAAAGAGTCAGATTACCATCACCTTAAACAATGAGAGTTACAGGAAAAGCAAATCTTAAAAGGAACACATTATGTATTTTGCTTCTACAACTATTTTAATATTCAATCTACTAAGTTATCTAAAACTTTTCCCTATCATCATGATTAATGACAAGCAATGTTTATGCCTGATGCTATTACCTCCTTCCAACTGAACAGATAGATCAAGTTGGTGAAAACAAGCCAGCACCTGCTTCTACCCTGAGCCCATATCATTAAGTACCTTTGCTTTTCAATGGGCTCTTTTGGTATTTGTAACCGTTATGGTTAATGTGTAATTAAATTCTGGAAAACATCTGCTTAAGGCCAGTTATGTCTCTTCTCTGTAAATAGTAATTTATTGATTGAGCCAAGAAATAAACTCTGCATACCAAAAACTGGGGCCACTCTTAAATCCCTATAATTTAGAACAAACGTAACCTCTTAAGAATTACAGTGTAAATTTCATACAAAATGAATGAAAGAAATCATCTATAGCTATTACCCATGAGAATACTAATAGAGTGTTTTAGAAAGCCCCACACTGGTCTTCCTCCATCATCTAAGAAGTGAATATGGAGATTCAGCCTACCTTGGAGTGTACCTAGTTTTCTTAATCCACTTCCTAGTTACAGGAGGTTGTTGTGTTGAGATTGTTTTACATCTCAAAAACTGTCTAGCCAGGTCTTCTGGGCTGCCGTTCCACCAACGCAGAGCAGAGGAAGGGGCCTCCC